TCTGTCTCCTGGCTGTGCCAGAGCTCTTCCCAGGGCAAGGGCCAAGTCTTACTCATTGTCGCTGCTTACACAGTGTTTAGCGAATGAATGGATAGATGTTTTCTTTAAGGAAATTCTACTTCCCAGGAGGACAGGTCCTCTCAGCGAATCCTACACTTTTAGTTATTCAAGGTGTAGAGCAGAGCAGAGCCAGCAGGGGTGCTGCTGCGCTCAGGCGGGTGATCAAAGGATTTGGAATTTTCTGCTGCCCGTTTTACGATGGCTTCTGAGCCATTTACAGGGCTTCTATGGCTCTGGAGCTGCTTGATGTGTAGGGCTTGCTTCTTTCAAGTCCCCGTTTGGATGCCCCAGCTCCCTTCCCCCACCCTCCACTCTACTTTCCTCCTGAGATGAGCAGAATAAGAAAACTTGCATTTTTCCCTCTTGTGATCTGATTCCAGAGTTCTTTTCATGCATGCAATTCTTTTCTCTCTGATTTTATATCCATATTTAAATCATGCTTGGGGAAGTCATTTATTGGATTCCCTCAGGCTCATGGTAGAGAGTATGTGAGATCCTTGATAAGCTTAATATATCTGTATTAAAAATTAATAAGAAAGCTGTATTGTTTGCAACTTTAAATCATAATTTGATTTAATTCATTTTATTTAATATATAACCACAATTTTTAAATTACTTTAAAAAAAAGAGCTGTGATGAGATTGGAATCATTTCTGGGGACCCTGTCTTTATTCCTGAGTGAAGCATGCCTGTCATGTGGCAGACAATCTGTGCTGCCATTTCTCGTGTGACATTTAGAGTCTGTACACGGATGCAGCAACTCCCTTGGAGCCTTCAAATGAGTCCTCTGTGAAAGATTCTGCGCAGGCTCTTTTTAAATGCTACCATTAAGAAAATAAAATTTAATGGAGAGAGATAAGCTTTGCCCAGCACAAGCTGGCTCCCATTTTATATTTCCTTAATCTGTTTTATATACTGCTGCAGGAAATTCAACCAAAATTGTCCTTTCTGACATGCGTGTGCATGGCAGTTAGGAGGAGCTGAGAGAAGGGAGACACAGAGCTACAGGAAACAATTGCTCTGGTTTGTCAGAGATTTATTGTAAATCTGTTTTTTGGGGAGAAAAGCCCTCCTGAGCTTCCCGCTGGACTGAAGGGCTGTGTCGGCCATGGAGAGCCAGCCTGTGCCTGTGGCTACACAGGGCTCTCTTCTTACCACTGAGAACTGTTGCCCAGCTCACTTGTAGGCCCAGGTGACATCCAGGACAAAGACCAGATGTCCTCCATCACCAGGTCTGTTTCAGCTCCCTGATGTTCCCACCGTGATGTGCCATTCACGCACACGCAGAAGATAGTCACTGACATTTTTTCACATTACTGAATCCTACTTCTTTCTTCTCTTGTTTCTCTCCTTTTCTCTTCTACCACATCCATCACCCAGAGAAAATTAAGTGTTTACTTGGTCCCTCCCCTTGCCCACTGCAGACTGTTTGCAGGTGGCAGCTACACAGTGCAGTCAGAGAGTTAACACTGGGTTGAGTCCTGAGAGCTGGGTGCTCACCCTGGGCCCACCTCTCAGGCTGCTACCACCTGGCCAGAACAGGAGGACGTTGGACCAGATGGTCTTCACGGCTCTTCCCTAAGGAAAGAGGCTGGGAGGTGTGGAAGTGAGGCCTGGGAAGGCCAGGCAGCTGCCCCTTCCTGGCTGTGTCCCTGCAATTCCAGAATGGCTGCAGGGCTGGAAGCCACCTGCTGATGCTCAGGCACTTGCCCTGCTGTAGGACAAACAGATCTGCCCCTTTAATGAACAGGAAGAGTCTGGATCAGCCACAATAAACTTTGGCTCTCGAGGAGTAGGCCTTATTCTTAAAGCTGGAAGGGGAGAGAAAGTGAAACATGGCTAGAAGAAAAGCAGAGAGGAAGGAAGATTGGAGCCTATAATATGTTGGAAGACAGGCACATCACCCTTTCCTTATCAGAGATACGAAGAAGACTTTGTCATTTAGCCTCTGAGTCAAATCACTGAGAAGCACAGAACACTCTGCAGGTGAGGAACCTGGGAAATACGAAAGAGGGGCAAAAAGAAGCTAATTCTCCTAAGAAACAAGGCCAAGCCCTCAGCCAGCAGAGGGCATCCATGAGGGACAGGGAGGTGGGTGAGCCCTCGCAGATTAGGGCTGGCCTTCCTCTGGACTACCCGTTAGTGGGGCAGAGTGGAGGCTTCTTTCCCTTTCTGCAAAGATCTTTTCAGGCAGTGCTTCTGGCCCCTTCACCCTCCTTTGCCAGATCACAAGTACATCTGGCCCTCTCTTGAGTCGAACGGAAGAGAACACTAAGACAGAATTCAAGTAAGAGAATTTCCCATGAAGGACTTGAAGCATCTCTCTGATCCAGGAAACCCCATCTCTTTACCTTCGTGCTCTCCTGCAGGTCTCTGCCTCAGACCTTGAGATGCCCAGAACAGTGAAGGACCTGGGGCAAGGTGGAGGGTGGGGGGCAGAGTGAATAAAACAGGAGGCGTTTGTTCCCCGAATGGCGTCAAACATTTGTTTTTTATCTTCTGCCCAGAGGGGTCTCACAGAGCTTGGCTGCTTGGGAGGTGGGGGCTACTCCCAACTCTTCTCCTCCGCTCCAGACACCGCCCCCCCCGAACCCACCACCCCAGGATTTGCTTGCACATGTACCCCACAGGGCAGACCCACTCAAGTTAATTAGAACAAAATCCCCACCACCCAGAATCTCAGTTGCAGGCACCTTCTGGATTTTCCAGCTGGGATGTCACTGGGTGATGGGCCTGTCAGTGTAGGTTTACAGCCAGGCTCTGTGAGCAGAGCTCTTCTAGGCTGGGAGACCGGGCCTGAGGTGCTGGGCCTTTCTTTCCCCTTCTCTTTTCTCTCTCTCTCTCTCAACAGTCAAATCCAGACCCCTTCTGTCTGCCTGTTTTCCTTTATTACAGCCAAAAGGGAACAATTTTCTTTTTTTGGTGTTTAAGATTGACCCTAAGCTAACATCTCTTGCCAATCTTCCCCTTTGTGCTTCAGGAAGATTGTCCCTGAGCTAAGATCTGTGCCAGTCTTCCTCTGTTTTGTATGTGGGATGCCACCACAGCATGGCTTGATGAGTGGTGTGTGTAGGTCCACACCTGGGATCCGAACCTGCGAATGCTGGGCTGCAGAAGCAGAGTGCACAAACTTCACTGTGCCACCAGGCCAGCCCCCTAAAGGGAACATTTTTAGAGATGTAAAAAAGAAGCCAGGCGCACAGGCTGAAAGTCCTCCTATACCTGAACACTTTGCTTCTCTGGGCTCAGGTTTCCTCCTCTGTGGAGTGAAGGGGTTTAACCACGTGACCCCCAGGGTGCTTCCCAGATCTGAAGTCTCTGTGGCTTTAAAGATGTTTCATCCCCAGGAACTCCACCTCCAGGAATTTATCTTAAGCAAATATTCAGCAAAGGCAAAAAAGTCATATGCTGGAAGGTCTACATCATGTCATAACTAAAAATTGGAAGTGATCTGAATTTCCAAGAGTAACTTAGTGGATGATGATCTATGAACATGATTGAATTAATTGTGCACAACCGTTAAAATGGTAATTATGCTGGCTATAAATTAACATTGAAGAATAAATAGTTGCTATTATTTTATTATTTGTTGAGAGCTGACTATATCAATTGTTCTCAATGCTGAGGGCACGTTAGATTCTCCTAAGCTCGGGCCTCACCCCCGGAGAGCAGGTTTCAGTTGATCATGTGTGTGGTCTGGGCTCCCCGGCTGACAGTACTGTGCAGCCAAGGCTGAGCGCCTGTGTACTGCATGCCAGGTACTTTTCTGGGTGCTTAACAGCCACTAGAGTGATGTCTTTTACACATCTCCTGAAGGTGCGTTTAAGTCAAATACAGTGGGTCTGGTGCCCCCCCCTTCCCTCTAGCCCCCAATTTGGGCAGTGCAGGATGACACTGTTTATCTCTAATTTATTTATTACAAAAACATTTTTGAGAGTATTCTGATTATTTATTGCTTTATAACAAACCATCCCAAAACTTAGCAGGGTAAAACCACCACCATTTTATTATGCTCACAGATTATTTAGGTTAGGAATTCGAACAGATCACAACAGGAATGGCTTGCCTCTTTTCCTCACTGTCTTGGATTTCACCTGGGAAGACTGGAAGCCCGATGCTTTCCGGCTGGTGGCTGGAATCATCTGGAGGCTTTTTTATGCATGTGTCGGTGTCTAGTCTAGGATGACTTGAAAGATAGACTCAGCTAGGGCTGTCACCAGAGCACCCACACTTGGCCTCCCGTGTGGCTGGGACTTCCTCACAGCATGGAGGCTCATGGTTCCAGTAGCAAGCATCCTAGTGACCGAGGCAAAGGCTGCATGACCTTTTTGACCCAGCCATGGAAGTCAATGGCATTACTTCCGTTATGCTCTAGTATTGAGGTGGTCGCAAGCCCACCCAGATTTCAGAAATATTTCAGAGGTATAATTGACAAGATTCCGTGATGGGCTAAACATGGTGAGTAAAGGAAGGAATTGTCAAAATGCTGGTGTTATAATGTCATATGACATGAAAAGAATATAAGAAATTATGTGCACATCATAATCACAGTGCATATAGATGAGAATTGAATACAGCATGCAAAAGTGGAAATTTATTTTAAGGTGGTAGCAGCATGGTAGGTCATCTTTAACATTACTTAATCATTTTAGTAACTCGTCTTACACCTCTCTAACTACCCACCAAACCTATGCACTGAGAGTCTCTGAAGGTCGTTGTTGGATACCAGGCCCCAGCATGACTCAGGTGTGAGTCTGCTTCCCAAGCACCATATTAAAAATCCCCATTGTCCGTTCCCTTTCTGGCCTGGAGAACCACAGTGCTGTTTACGCTGTAGACCTGCGGCGTTCTCCACGCTCCTAATGTCACGGGGAAAGAGGGGGAGCAGGCAGGGCCCCGCCTACTTTGTTATCAGTCTTTCTTCTTTCCTTTCCCTTTAGGCTTTTGATATTATGCGAGTGACACATGGCAGAGAGCACAGCCTGATTGAAGATTTGATTCTACTCTTAGAAGAATGCGACGCCAACATCAGAGCATCCTAAGGGAACCCAGTCAGAGGGAGAGGCAGCTCACAGCTGTGTTGAATGCCTCACCGAGGTCACGCACTGTACTCTGTATGCGCTGTGACGTACAGAGTTGGAAGTGCTGTTCTGGGTTTGTGTAGGTAAATAAAGCAGACATATGATTTCAAACCACAAGAATCATTAGTTGTAGAGAAACAATTATAATAAATGTAAAAATTTGGTTGAAAATGGCCTCTGGTAATTGTTTTCTTTGCTTATTGGTGATTTAAGTGCTTAAGATCTCAACATTAAAGAAGAAAGTGCTATTAAAATATGATAGAATAAGTTGTAGGTTTCTCCTTAGATGTATGTAGGGATAACTGAATAAAAAAATCAATGTTTTCACATTTGCTTCCAAGCAAATACTTAAAGTCCATTTTGGTAAGAAGCAGAATTTGCAGATGTTATCTTTACTCTTTGTGGTAAACGATATGTGTCTCCGTTATTCACTTCCAAATGCATCTCCAACACAAGAAGTTTTATCTTGAGTCCTAGAAGGAGGTCTTTTAGGTGTTATTAAAAAGGATGGGAAGTTTTAATGCAAAAAAAGAAAATGTTTTTTCAAATGCCTCACTGCTCTTTGTGTAACTCTCTCATTCTGAGCATTTTATAACCTTTTGTGTACGTCATGCCTTTGTTTTCTTGATATTTTTTTGTGTAATCCCTGTGTCTGTGGTTCGACATGGGGGTGCAGAGCATGAAGCTCCGTCATCCTGCAGGAGGCAAGGGTCTAGCATCCCAGCTCAAATCAGGCTTGCTTTCTTTTCTTTTTCTCCCTATTATTTCCCAATTCTATGGCCTGCTATTTCCCCTTTCTACTTTGGACAAATACAGAAATCCTTTTATTTTCCCCTGCCAAAAAGCAGGCACATTCTTTTCTGGTTCAGTGATGCTGTGAGCATGTAGCCCCTCCTGCCTAGATGAGACTCTGCTCATAGCTGAAGCCCCTGGATTCTTGCGGCTGAAGGGATTCTTAGCCCCCGTTGTCATCCACACTTTATTATACAAGCAAGGAAACTGGTATAGGGAGTGACGGCAGAAGCCAGAGCAGCAGCTCACGGTCCCTCAATCCTGTTCAGGAGCCTCCCCCACCCCCACCGAGGGAGTGGCAGGTCTTCCGGCCACGTGGCCCCACTGCGGCAGCAGGCCCTGTCAGAATGACACATGGACGTCTGATGGAGCCAGAAGGAACCAGCTTCGTTTCGCAGAGGATAAGGCTGACAACTGGAAACTGGAGTCTACTTGCTGCACACCTGGCGATCACTTTAATCACTGAAATGTGCACGATGGCTGCATGCTCATGAGTTCTCCAGCGCTCTCGTCAGCCTGCTTCTGCCCGGGCTACTGTCTCTCAAGTAGCAAGGACATTGCCAAAGCACACAGTGTCTCTGCTAACCACAGTAACACAACAAGCTGGGTGTTCCCATTTTATAAGTAGAGAAACTGAGGCCTGGAGTCAAGTGCTCTGGAATCCCTCATGATTTACTCAGTGACCTTGAGAAAGTGGCTTAATCTCAGTCTCTTTGAGAGACCAGTTCTACCCAATGCAACAAATACATATTGCATGGTTACTGTGTTTTTAGGAAAAAGGGCTACAAAGACAGAATAAGACATGCCTCTTGTCCTCACAGTGCACACTGTCTCGTATAGCATTTGCATCAGTTAGCTTTTACTGCATAACAGACGACCCCAAAATAATACTTATTTCATTTGTGATTCTGTACATCAGCAGTTTGGGCTGGACAGTTCTGGTTCGGTCCAGGCTTGGCTGATCTCAGCTGGGTGCACTCATTGTCTGCAGTTGCTGGTGGGTCACTGGGGGAATGAGGGTGACTAGGCCATGTCACTCATTGAGTTAGTCCAGCCTTGTTCACATGGCAGCAGGATTCCAGGAACAGTAGGTAGCCCCAGCCCCAATGTGCCAGCACTTTTCAAGTCTGCTTGTGTCACGTTTGCCAGTATCCCACAGGCCAAAGGCAATCTCAAGGTCAGCACAGAATCAGGTCTGGATAAAGACTCCTCCTTACAGTCAGAGGAGCTACAAAGACACGTTGCAAAGGCGTGGATATGTGGAGGGGAAGACACTGTGACCATCTGTGCAGTCCACCATACCAGTCCTTAAGCTATTTTGCTGTTAGGGAACATTTAGTGAACTTGGTGAAATCCATAGACCTTCTTCCTAAAAGCTATGTATATATGAACAATTTGCCTGTATGATCAGAGATTCCTGAACTCCCTGTGGCCCATAAGTGGACTCCCTGGGGTCCTTCATCTAATGAAAATAGACTTGCTACCTTTCAAAAACACTGGTGGGAATTGTATTGGTTTCTCATTTTAAATTCATTAGAGGAAAAGAAAAAGCCATAAGAGAAGGTGGGGGTAGTAACTTACATGCCAAATGAGAAGAGTTCACTGATAGAACCCTGTGTTTGCCAATTTTCTGAATGAAATTTATCATTCAGTGATGATCCTGGATTAAGAGATTTGTCTCCACGCCTCCTAGAGAAAGCCTGATAGACTTTTAAATCCCTCCCAGTTTTTCTGAGAAAAGGGCTCTTAAGAGGAAGGGGTCCTGCTTGTATCAACTTTTAATAAAAGCAAACATTTAAACAACAGTAAACATTTACTGGACAACTTTACAGCAAAATAATTTTGGAGAAGGGGGATGTGAATGGAGAACATAATTTAAAATTCATATCACCAGTGGCTGACGATTTACTGCTGCCCCAGCCTCTATGACTGCTATTTCATTAATCCATAGTCATTGTAGCGGCAGGCTTTTTTCACATCAGTAACTTGACGCCATTAGTTGCTCCTCTGGGATGAGAACACATTTAAACTGAAAATGAACACTCTGGGCATAATTTATAGCCGTGCCCTATCAACGCCAAGAGTGCTGGGGAGGAAGGCTGCCTGGGAAGCCTGCTCACTATGAGAGCTCAGGACAGGCTTTCTTCAGCCACGCAAGAGTGCTGGGCGGGCCGAGGAGCAGCCATGCTCTAATGAAGCCAGACAGCCACAAACCACAGAGGCCCCGCAGTCAACCTTTGCTGCAGGGACAAAAGAGAAATTCCATACGTGGGAGCCCTCCCTTGAGTTAGGTCTTGAAAATTCTTTTCTGGCCCAATCAGGAAGTGATGCTACACTCAGGGTAGCCCACTGGGATTCCACAGAGAGAAGAGTCTGGGCATTGTCTGTAGAGCATCATAAAATCCTATGACAAGCAGTCATGGGTGGAAGCTTCAGGAAAACACTGGAGCCCTCCTATTGCCTGAGGTCTGTAAGAGCCAGCAACACCACCCCCAAATTGGGACACTCCCTTAAACTTTTCGAGATTTGTAAACATCAAAACATTATTGGCTTACAGTCAATATATTCAAAACCAGTTCTCTGCCCTTCCTGTTTAGCTCAGCAGCAGCAGCATGCTTCCACTCTTCAGCACAGAAGCTCAGAGTCACTGACTTGCCCTTCTCCTTTATTGAAGGAATAAGTTCTGTCTATTCGTCCTCTGGAGTGCTTTTTTAAATTTCAGCCATTTTGTCCATATCCATTCCCAGACTCTTTGCAGGCCCCCAGCACCTCATTCCTCAGCCAGAGCAAAGACCTCCTCACCTGCCATCCCTCCTTTCCTGTCCTCTGTCAGAGCTGCCAGTCATCTCCCCAAAATACCCAAAATGCTCCTCGGCTCAAACACTTACAGTGGCTCTCCATTGCTGCTAAACTCAAAGTCCAGTCTTCAGACTGGCATTGATGGTCTCAAACTACCTAATCTTATACTTACAGATCCCTGCCTGAACCTGCAACTAGCTGAACCAGCACCCCCGGCTCATCTCCTGAGTTATGCCTTCTTCTTTATCACTTCCTTGTTTGTTCACAATGACTAAATTCCCTTCCCCGTTATCTAAATCTTACTCATTCTGAAAAGGACTAGCCCAAGCCACCTTGTTCTTTTTTCTTTCTTTCTTTCGTTTTAAAATTCAAATACGTTATAGTCTCTAACTGTAATTCTTTTTGATACTCAAGTTTGTATCAGCTTTGGCTATTGGGATCTTTTTTAAGTTGGATCCCATATCCTATGTGTTCTTACCATTTTGGAGACACTTTTTTTACTTTGGGGCACAGCAAGACGTTCCAGGTTCACCTTATACTTCCCCACTCTACACCTGGAACTGGTCCTCCTCCCCGGAGCCCTGGTTTCCTTTAGTAAAGAGTAGTGTTTAGGGGCCCTGATTTGGGCACTGGGTTTTTATTGCTACTAGGGTATGCTACTACGTGCTAGTAGGGTCATTGCTCTCTAGGCCTTTTTAAAATCATGACTTCACACTGATACCACCAATTAAAATGCAACATTCTGGGGTTGTTCTTTGCCTTCCTCCTTCCACATTTGTACTTCTCTCACACACACAAAATAGTGTTGAAATTACTACTACACCACTACCAAAAATAAACCTACTAAGTAAAATTTAAGTTTATTTTCCAGTGCTTTTTGTTCTTAGGCAAAAAGGATCTATTGTCAGAATACTGTGTTTAAAAGTTACTTGAATTATTGTTTTCTGTGTGATTATGTAATCAATTTGCTATCCAGTTAGGTTTATTTGTTTCTGTTTTTATTCGACATTAGGGTTCGCCCCATTATTGATTTATGCTAGTGTATAAAACCAATATAATATATTAATATATATTCTATTTTGCTGTTACAAATAATGCTATAATGAATAACCTTGTGCATATGTTTTTTCATATTGCTGGAGATACATCTTCAGGGTAATTTTCCAGAAGTGAAATTGCTGAGTCAAAAGGTAAATGCATATATAATTGTATTAGGTATTGTCGGGTTTACCTGGGGGGGTTGTATAATAATGTCCCCTCAGCCATGCCGCCGGAGTAGGTTGTTCAGCTTCTGAATTTTTTGCTAAGCTGAGAGGTGAGATATGGTTTCTCAATGTAGTCTAAATTCACATTTTTCTTATTAGTGAAGTTAGAAGTCTCCAAATATTTAAAAGCCTTTCGTCTACCTTTTTGTGGACCAGCTTTATATGTCTTTTGTCCATTTTTCTATGAAGTTTTTTTAGGTCTTTTTCTCTTTTCTTGATCTTTAGTTCTTTATATATTAGGGATATCTTCCCTTTATAATATTTACTCTCTTAGTTTCTCATTTGCTTTTGGACTTTGCTGTAGCTGTTTGCCCC